TGAATAATAATTTCTTATATATAATCTTTATCGCTTTCTTAATATTAATTGTACTCGGATCGTGTCAGATTCAAGTATTTTGATGCATAGTGAAGATTTTACATTTACTTGTTGCTTTAATTCCGTACATATACACATTATTAGCTGTATATTTGACATATAAACCAGTAAAATCCCACAAAAGTAGGGTATGAGGAGGGCGTGTGTGTTTAAAATATGACAATGAAACATTTACGCTATGTTTTGTTCGAGGTATTCGGAAGGAAATGAAAAAGAAAAAGTTCTCTCTCCTTTTCCTCACCAAAATATAAATAAATTTGTTTTCCCTCTCATTAGTTTATTTTGTCCTCTCATTTTTCTTTTTATTTCCCTTTTCTTTTCTTTTACTCTCTAATCAAGCAAGAAAAATCATTTTCCATGTCATTTTCTTTTCTCTTCCTTTTCAAATTCTTTGAACCAAACATACTGTTGAAATGCGTACCGGCACGGCGTACATACCTGTATTTGTATTCTAACTGTTTAAAACATAAAGTAATTCATATTCTATGAAATCCCAATGTATTATACACGGACATACATATTATTTATTATTCACATATTATATAATACGTAGTAGTAGCAAAGATACATACTTACCTTTTAAGTTCGTAACTAACAATATATCTTGTTAGGAATTACAGATAGATTTGATCCATGTCTGGAAAAGGTGAATTGACACTATATTTGTGGAATTTGGGCTGGAATGAAAATTGGTTCAAACTTTGTAGTGATGAAGATCCCATGTACTCTAAAACCTTGCCTTCTGTTAAGTGATGAAGATTCCATGTACTCTAAAACCTTGCCTTTTATTAAGAACTTCTTTTCCTTTGCCTTTATTCTTATTCAGCCACTACTCTAATTTAATAACTCACCATAAACCTAAACTCAAACGTACTCAGAACACAAACCGTTCCTTCATCTTCTCAAACCCACTTCTCTCTTTTCTTGAAAATCAATGCAACTGCATGTCCCATCTTAAGCAAATTCATGCCCAAATGGTCACCACTGGCCTGTTTTCAAATAGACTGGCATCTAGTCGTTTGGTTGCCTTTTGTGCTATCTCAGAAACAGGGAGCCTTGATTACTGCAAATCTTTGCTGTATCATACACAAAGCTCAAATTCATTTTCTTGGAATGTTGCAATCAGAGGATATAGTGAAAGTCAAAATCCAGTTGAAGCTTTATCTTTATATAAAGACATGTTAGCCTCCAACAAAATGGATGTTGATGCTTTAAGGCCTGATAATTACACTTTTCCATTTTTGTTCAAGGCTTGTGGTAGAATGTTGCTGCTCAACATGGGTTTTGAGATTCTTGCACATGTTATGAAAATGGGTCATTATGAGGATAGATTTGTGCATAATGCTTGTGTTCACTTCTTGGTGTGTTGTGGGGAGTTTAAAGTTGCAGAGAAGGTCTTTGGTGAAATTTGTGTGAGAGATGTTGTTTTGTGGAATTCATTGATTAATGGGTATGTAAAGAGTGGTAGACCTTGTGAGGCGCTAAGGGTTTTTAGGGATATGAGACTTGAGGGCATTGAGCCTGATGAAATCACTATGATAGGAATGGCTTTAGCTTGTGGGCAGCTTAGAAGTTTGGAACTTGGGATGGAGTTTCATAGATATGTTGTGAAGGAAATGAATTTTTCTTTGCGTCTTTGTAATTCTTTTTTGGACATGTATGTGAAATGCGGGGACATTGGTAAAGCAAAGGCTCTGTTTGGTAGGATGAATGAAAGGACTGATGTCACTTGGACTACTATGATTGTTGGATATGCAATGTTTGGATTTTTACAGGATGCTAGAAAGTTGTTTGATGAGTTTCCACAGAAGGGCAATGTTGTCACTTGGAATGCAATGATTGGAGGCTATGTGAAGGCCAATTGTGGGAAAGAGGCTCTGGCTTTGTTTCAAGAAATGCAAGCAATGAATATTAAGCCTGACGAGGTGACCATGGTTTGCTGTTTATCAGCTTGCTCCCAACTAGGAGCTCTTGAAATTGGATGTTGGATTCATCATTTCATCAAGATCCACAACCTCTCTCTTAATGTCTCTCTCGGAACTGCTCTAATTGATATGTATGCTAAGTGTGGCAATGTTGAGAAGGCAGTTCAGGTTTTCCATGAGATGACCGTAAAAAATGCGTTGACTTGGACGGCTATGATTGGTGCTCTAGCACTTAATGGAGATGCACACAATGCTTTATCCCATTTCAGAATTATGGTTGATGATGTCGGTCTTGCACCAGATGATGTCACATTTCTTGGGGTCTTGTTGGCGTGTCGCCATGGAGGTTTAGTCACCGAGGGCCGTAAAGTATTTGCTGAAATGACCTCTAGGTTCAAAATTCCCCCGAAATCTAAACATTATTCTTGCATGGTTGACCTTCTTGGCAGGTCCGGCTTGCTAAATGAGGCACAGGCACTAATTACGAGCATGCCAAGTAATGCAGATGCCTCTGTTTGGGGAGCACTCTTTTCTTCTTGCCAAACTCATAGAAACATTGAATTGGGTGAAAAGGCGGCTCTGAAACTTCTTCAGTTGGATCCAGATGATAGTGGGATTTATGTTCAACTTGCCAACATGTACATTGAAGCAAACCTGTGGCATAAAGCTCGGGAAGTGAGGAAGATGATTAGTGAAAGAGGGTTAGAGAAAACTCCCGGCTGCAGTTCCATTGAAGTGAACGGTGACATTTTTGAATTTACTGTTAGAGACGGGTTGCACATGCAGTCAGATAAAATTCGTGAATGTCTGATGCAATTGGCAAGACAAATGGGACATCAAGATTGTGTACTGAATATTCGTTTGCTTTAAATCGGTAGGCAATATTCTCTTCAACTCAAGAAGTACAACAACAACAAGTTAAAGTTAGAAGTAAGCATAAGGGTCTTTAACAAATTTTGGCGCCGTTGCCGGGAAAGTTTTGTATGAAATCACTTTAGTATGCCATTGTGTTCTTTTTTTTTGTGTTAGTAAGAATGTCGTAGTACCTCTTTTCTTGAGTTTTAATTTTTTTCCATGCCTATTCGTAGAATTGAGGTTAAGCGTGTTAGAAGTACCATAATTAGCTTGTTCAAATTATCTTTGTGCTCCATTGTCAGTTTTTGTGAGATTTTTGGCCAATTTTTCATAAAAACTGCATTTTTAGACTTTCTTTGGCATATCTACTTGCTGGTTTTGTTTCTTTCAACCATAGACGCTTACTTTGAATGAACATGGTGCTATTTTTCAGAAATTGTGGTCTGTCAATACGGTTTTTTTTTTTTGACAAATTGCACTCTTTTGCTGGTCTAGATGTTGTATTGTGTTCCTGGAAATGCTAATATACCTGCAATTTGAACTCTTGTTGAAATAATCTGCATTTTGAGCTTTATTTGGTCTTTTAGTTGCTGATTTTTGTTGATGCAGGTTATAAATTTTGAGTTTGAATGAATTAGTGTTGTTTTCTCAAAGAAAAATGATTTTACTTGCTGTTTTTTTATAAATCTGCATTTTTTACTTAGCATATGTGCTGATTTTTGTCCCTTGGAGTGCTTCTTTGCTTCAAATATGAACTCTAGTTGATATATCTTGCTTGGGGTAATATTCTGAAGCATGTCATGATGTTTTTATGCTGATTTTGATGTTTTAGGGGCTGAAGTTTTGATAAAAATTGATCTAAAGTGCTGTTTTTTAAAAAATCTGTATTCTTTTCTTATGTGCAAACTGAATTTTTATGTTCCAAAGATGCTTATGTACTAAATTTTGAACCCTAATTGTTAAAACTTGCATAGGAACTAATGTGGGAGCATTTAGCATGAGTTTTCAATCTTGTCTTGATCCTTATATGCTCCTTGTTGCTCTTAAAATGAAAAAATGCAGAAAATCCGTTTCAAGAAGACTTTGAAGCCTATTTGTGCATCTTCAAATCTGATTTTTCCATTTTTAATTGAACATAAACTGATATTCTTAGAGCTAAAGTCAATTCTTGATGCTTATCTTGTTTTCATTTTTTTGGGTATTTTAGATAAACACATGTTCTTATCTTACTACTTCATGCTTTAAGTGAGTATTTGTTTGCTAGTAGTAAGCTTTGTCTAGCCAAAGACTTTAAAGTGGGCGGCTTATGGGAGACAACCCATTTACTTTTTAAACGTTTTTTTAAATTTACTCTTACTACTAGTTATTGTTGTAGTTTTTTCTCTTTTAGTTGTTTATTGCATTTTTTCCTTTTTAATATTTTTTTTAACATGACCCACTTATTTTTATAGCATTTTTAATTTTTTTTTTCCGTTAAGTTCCTTATGCTTACTTCTAACTTTAATTTGTTGTTTTTTAACTGTCCAAGCTTCTTTTTTTTTCTTTCTGAATACCTGCCATCTTGCAGATTTCATTATTCATTCTTCAGTTCTGCATTGGATTCGATTTTCTATCCTTGGCTATTTACATACGCTGTACGGCCATCAGGTTGGATTCTTACTTATTACTCCTTCCCTCCTCAGACCCTACGTTCGTGGGATTTTACTAGGTTGTTGTTGTTGTGTTAGGTTGTAGGTGATTCTATTTTACCCTAGATGTGGAAAAGGTGAATCCATGAATATGGGAAAGTTTGAACACTGAAGTCTAATGATGGAGTTGGAGGTTGCATTGGAAGATTTGCTTTTTCCACATTGAGAAGTAAGTTTCCCTTCTTACTCATTCACTTCATTTTTTCCCACTCTTTTTTATCTATGCTTTTGCCTTGTTTTCTTGTTTGAAAGGCAGAGACTTTTCACCAATGCAATATTCTACTGCATAATGGAGAATTTTGATGTTATATATATTTGTGTATGACTAAAACAGATATATAAGTGAAGACGACTCCACGAATTATATTTGAATAGACAATGCGTGCTTGGAACCGGGCACCGTAGGAGGAATAAAATCAAGAAAAAAAAAGAAAAGGAAAAGACGATACACATATATGTAATATGTATGTATGTACGAGGTGATCGTATATTGCCATCACATAAATAGAGAAGCATAGAGAAGGTGGTTCCAGGTATCAGGGAGTCCAGGAAGACACCAATGGCTGCAATCCACGCCTGAATGGCCACCCCCACCGTACGTAGATGGGTGCGCGTCTTTTCTAAGCTGAGANATGAGTGGGGGATATTCCTTGAAAATAGACTGTAGTATTAGAAGGATTAACATTGAGGTCCACCCATTTTGCCCAAGTTGATAAGCCCTTGTAGAATGCCAGCAGCCTGTCCATATCCTTGTACACCTTTGACCCATCTTGTACATAATCCCATCTGCCACAAGAAATTCACAAACACTCAATTGTTAAAACCCAATTTTTTCCTTGTTAAAAATGTGGGTCTCAAAATGTAGAAATAATGACAAAATTTTTCATCCGATTAATTGCCACAAAGAAAGTTTTATTTTTTAAATTTATTACGCACATATTTTCATATATACTGAACTGATAATATACTACTCCGTATAAGTTAATAATGGTAACAAGAAAATTTTTCTGGGACGAAGTTTGAAATGGAGAAGGGAAAAAGAAACGTACGGTTGAGATCGTCCCTTATGAGTCCACCAATGCCACGTGTTGAAGATCAAGACGTCCATTCCTAGCCATGCTTGGCCTTGTTCTATGGAATCCAATTTCAAAACCCTTCCTGTATCTTCCTTTACTATATCCACCAAGTATGTTGTGTGATAAAGGTACAAAGTTACTCCATACTTCTGCAACACACAAGATAATATATGTATTTATATATTTATATATATATATATATATATATATATATATATATATATATATATATATATATATATATATATATATATATATATATATATATATATATATATATATATATATATATATATGGCTAACAAAATCATTTTATAAACATAGAATAAATGAGAGCCCCACAAATAAAGGAGAATCGAGAATATTGTTGAAACTTCATTACTTTGGCCCCATGAAACAAGCATATTCAAAACTTGACCTCATATTTTTAATTAAATATTAAATTTGGCACCCTTAAATTTCCATAAATGCTGTTGGGTTGACACTTGAATGGTGGTTATTACGTCGTTAAGTTGCTATTTCCCACAACTGGCGCCAGCAAGATGACGTGGCTGTCTTGTACAATAGGACCCACCTAAAATTGTTTACCCTATGGCAGGGCCGTTCCTATGGTTTTGTAGACCCATGTTCTAATAGAAAATGGACCTAACAGAATTCAAATATAATACGGGTAGTTTATTTTAAAAATTAATATACTCGTACAATAAATAGTGGGCAACACTAATATTAATGTAATATCCAGAATCCTACATCATGTAATTTTATTAGGCTTATTGTTATTCTATAGAGCAAGGTTCCTATGACATTGGGTTCCATAATTAATGATGCTTCATTAATTATTTCTCTACCATGACTATATATTTATACTTTGGCAATGATTAAAAAAAAGACTATATAAAGCATGAGAGTCTTGCAAGTACTAGTTAGCTAGGCATGCATTTCTTTTTTTAGATCTAACTGAGATTATATCTCAAATTAATTTTTTCTATTCTACTGTTTCTAGTTACAGCCTAGGAATCGGGATGGAACCATACAAGATATACCTCCAAAGATTATACCCTAAAAAGTATCCGAAAATTTAAATTTATATTTTGATGGCCTACATTGACACAAAATGTTAATGCAATTGTAAAATTTCACACAGACATTTTTTGTCAAGTAAACTATCAATCTCACATTTACATTGACAAAAAATATAAGTATAAATTTGGGAAATAAAAATCTTTGGAATACAAGTATATTTATCCGTTGGGTTATAACATTTTTTAAATATTATTGAATGATTCATCATTTCACTCATTAAGTGCATGAAAAAGAGAAGAATAACGACCACACGAGTTTGGGGAAAACTAGCAAGACAACGTTAGGTGACAGTCTGACAGGGACTCAACCAATGAATATGTATTTTTTTTAAAAAAAAAACATTTAAAAAGCAAGGCATGATTTATTTTTTATTTGGAATAAAGAATTAAAAAGAGGGTATTCAATTGATTAATAAATGAAAAAGAGGTCCGGCGGGGGGGGGGGGGGGGGGGG